GTGTAGTGATTATGGGTTGGGCTGCAATCAGCATGATTAGCAGTTCAAAAACATCCACCAGCAGCTCTGTGGGAGAAAGAATGGGCTTTCTAATCCCTTGAACAGTTACAGTCTTGGAAGCTCACAGGGGATCATTATGAGTCAGCATTAACTGGGTATTATGAATCTTTGTTTTGTTTGTCTTTGCTTTGAGATAATTTCAAGTTCATTGTGTTTTTTGAATCAGTTAATCTTGATAAAGGAGAGTGATGGATAGTCTTAGATTATCAGTTAGCAACAGCTCAAAACGTTTATTCAGTATCTTACATTTTGTTATGTAAGAGAATGACAAAAATCTCTTTTAAAGTAACTATTAATAGTATGCTAAATTAGAGCTAGAATAAAAAGTTAGAATTTTCTCATAGTTCACCATGTAAATTATATTTTTAAAAGGTCCTATCCTTTCAATTATTCATCTTCACCCTTACTGTCTTATTCCACTAGTAATTAAAATTGTTTCCAAAAGGGACTTTCTAAAATCAATCTAATAATACTTTTCTGATCACCCACTCACAAGTCAAAGCGACACATAACTTTCAGAGATACTGTTTTAACTGTTTTTGTAACTCATGGTACATAAAACAATCACTTCTATTTCTATGTTCTACATTTGTGATGTTTGTGAGGTTTTCCTCCCCCATCTTGCTGTGTTGGACAGCGGTTTCATAAGATGATCCTGCTGCAGAAATGCTTGTTGCAAACGTTGGTCCCTTTGGGCTTCTGTTCACTAAGATGAAAAGTTTAAGTTCATTGTCTGTTGCTGTTTGGGAATAGATAAAATTCAGGTGAATATTTTTCCATGTCTCATTCTAACTATTTTCTAACCAGAGACTCTTGGGATGTATGTCTATTAGTTATTTATTGTATTATTTATACAAATCAACCTAACTTAGAAAATGTTTTAAGAATTTTAAAACAGTATAAATTTCAATAGCCAAAAAATGTATTTGATATTTCACAAGATATTTCACAAAAATAATTAGATAATGAAATGGCTTTAAGGGTGGTTTTCATATATTGGGCTATTTCTGAATCACCTGAAAGAGCTGCAAAAACAGAGTCCTGCTTCTATTCAGTAAGTCTTTGTGGAGGCCGAGTATCTGCATTTTTAGAACATATTTACAGATGATACTGATTTGATGGTCCCTGAACCATAGTTTGGAAATCACAAGTCTAAAGCATCAAACTGACCATGACATTCTAGTGGAAACATTCTAGTGGATTATTATACGCTTATTACTCTTTAACATGCTCCAGAAGGTTCACCATCATGTAGGCCTTTCTGAACTCTTATGCATTATCTTACACTATCTCTGCTTTTAGTTGTGTGCTGATAGATTTTAAAACTGACTGTCTGTGTTAAAAAATATCTGTACATGTGTTGTGAATATGTAGGTATGTATATGTATCTGTGTTATATACACACAGAAGCGCATAGGTTGTCTTCATTGGGTGCCAAGATCCATTTGACATCAGCAATGATATTCTTCTGAAGGTTGCCTGCATTTCTGGCAGCTTTCTGTGGAGGTACTGCTGCAACATAGTTCCATGATCTTCAGCAAAATGTCACTTGCCTGGGATCATGATATTGTTTGATCATTTCCACACTCTGTGGCCTCACCTTTCTTTGGAATAGGTACAATTACGGATATCTTCTAGTTGGTTCTCCAGGTAGCCGTCTTCCAAAGGTCTTGGCATAGTCTAGTGGGTCCTTCCAGCGCTTCCTCAGCTTGTTGTTTCAATTTCTATTCAGTCAATCCCTGGAGTCTTGTTTTTGGCTAATGCCTGCAGTGTATTTTGGACTTCTTTTACTGTCATTATTGATCATATACTATTTCTTGAACTTGTTGAATGTCTACTAGTTTTTTTTTTATATAGTGATGCTGAGTGATCTTTCAGTCATCTTTTGATGCCCCCTGCATCATTCAATACTTTGTCCATAGAATGTTTTAACATGAAACTCAAGGTTTTTTATTCAGTTCTTTGAGCTTGATGATTAACGTTGAGCATGGGCTTCCATTTTGGTTTTCCAACATTGGGGACCAGTTAGTTCAGTTGGACCAAAGCAATACTTGCATTTCCCATTATATTTTGAGTGTCTTCAAACCTGGGCTGGGGGTGGGGGTCAGAGGAGCCCATCTTTCTACAATGTATCTGATACCGTTCCATTGCTATTCATGAAGTTGTCAGTGTCTGAAAATGCTCTGCTATAATTTATACGGGTTTCAGTGGCTGATTTCTCAGAAGAGAACCATCTATTCCCTCTTTTTTGTCTGTTTTTATTCTTTAAGCTCTGCTGAAACCTTGAGGGACTCTGCTAGTGTTTGAAATACTTGTGACATAACTTCTAGCATTATAGCAACACACACGCCATCACAGTATGAAAAAATCTGACAGACAAGTGGTGGGATTATGGCTAGAATGGTCATATTAATTGCCTAAATCTCACCAGTAAATGCCCAAATGGCACACCACCACAGTGTAACACTCAACCTGAACCCAAAGGCACTCAATTTCAGCTCTCCTGATTTACTGCCTAAAAGCACCTCACTCCACCAGCCGGCCTCTTGCCTCAAAGCATCAGGCTTAGTTGATCTGTGGACGGGGAAATCCACGTCTCTGCCTCGTGCTCTAGCTCCTGATTCTGCTGTTGCGGCTGCCACTCCTCTGGTGTCAAAGCCCTCTCCTAGACGAAGGCAGTTCAATGTGCAGAGATCTTGAAATCCAAAGACTGAAGTTCCCTCCTACCTCCACTCTCCTGCTGATAGTAACGATCTCACATTTCTGGTTCTGAGTGGTTGCCTTTCTATCCAGCAGGATGACACCCACATGTAACCCTGTTAACAAGCACTCACAACCGAATCCTGTAAGTGTCTTCCTCGACCTTCTCTACCTCAGGCCCATAGGGAAAGGGTTATCTGGTGGGATTTACAGATACTATGGCTAGAGGGTCACATTAAATAATCCATTACACTGAGCATACACACATAAATAAACATCAAATTTTTACTGATGTAAAAATACATAGCATATACTTTATAAATGATAATGTAATATCCAGTGCTCTTAATTGAAAATTATACGTGACAAATGAATCTAACCGAATTCATTTGTCAATTTATATTGAAATCGACCTGTAGCCACATACAATCACTGGCATATATTCTTCTATTATTTTATTTGGTATTTTTTGTACAAATTTTTTTAATGTCAGAGTTTTACTTAGGCTGCAGACTGTATATTAAAATGCAAGGCTGGAAGTAGACTTGACCTGCAAATTATAGCTTACGACTCCTGATCTAGACAGCCAGCAAAACAAAAACTCAAGCCCTCCTGTGTAGTTTTCCATCATTTGTGATATTAACAGTGTACAGGTATTGAGTTGAGAGCAAACAGTTTGATGTTATTAAAGTGACGTCACTAGCCATGGAGGTGGAAAGAGATGAGCCGATATAATCGACTTTAAAATTCTCAACAGCACAGTTACTCTTACAATACAGTCAAATAATTGGGCTTTTATATTAATGTTTATTTAATTTTCGGGCTCTTTGGTGACTCAAATGGTTTGCACTTGATGACTAACCTAAAAGTTTGGTTGTTTGAACTTACCCAGCTGTGCCACAGAATACCAGCCTTGTCATCTGTTTCCATAAAGATTATAGCTAAGTAAACCTCAAAACAGTTCTTGTGGTAGCACTCGTGGGTGCCATGGATGGCAATTGACATATGATAGTGAGGTATTGCTTCTGTTTTCTTTTAAATTCAATTGTAAGTCTGTGTGACTTCATTTTTTAATGCCTTTGCTTATTGGCCAGCTCACATAATTCACAATTGGCTCCCACAAGTCTGTACACACTGGCTCTAGCATACCACTGCTTGCCTATCATTTAAACTCAAAAATATTGAACCATTTGCCACACTCTGCCCCATGCCCAGACATGAGAGTAAGATGCGACTATTCTGCTATGCCTTTCTGATGGTATTCACACAGTAACCCTATCGGACAAGAATTGGCGCAGCTTGTACTAGGAGCTCTTTGTTATTTTTCAGGTTAAGCCTATTCTTTTTTTTTTTTTTTAACATTTTATTAGGGGCTCATACAACTGTTATCGCAATCCATACACACATCAATTGTGTAAAGCGCATTTGTACATCATTCTCAAAACATTTTCTCTCCACTTAAACCCCTGACATTAGCTCCTCATTTATTGTGGATTTGATGACCTTGTTCTGCAGTGACTAATCTCAAACCTGGCTCTCCGATAGACTGAACTTCTTCTACAATTCAAAGACTCTGCCCCAGCTGTGTCTGTGACTCCACTGCTGATCACAAAGCCTGATATCGCGTAGAAGCCCTATCTTGCACTAAATAAATATGGTGTCTTCAGTGGATTGACAGTTTTCAGACCTGTGTACAACCTTCCTTTTGTGATGGAGTTCATTTCATTGTTTGCCTCTTTTACTAGAGTTTTAAGAAGAAACAGTTGTCCATGGATATGAATCAAAATGTGCATTGCAATAAAGGCAAAAGTTGAGTACTTAGAGAACAGATTGCAAGTGCCATAGATTCGGCAAATCAAATTATCCCAAATGAATTGATTTTTTAATAAAATGATGCCTGTGATCAAGACACAGGACAAAGATTTTTTAAAAATCATATAGACAGAAAAAGCCAGGGGAAGAAAAAAATGTACCTGCTTTTAAAGTGTGAACAATGACCATATCTTCAGGACTATTATTACTGTCAAAACTCTTATTTCTCCCTCTCCCCACTGCCCCAAGTCAATTTCCAAACTGTTCTCTTTGCTCCTCCAGTAGAGGCTGCCAGGACACGGACGGAGGGTAAAATGCCCCAGGTTACAATTTTCCACATGTCCCACAGGCCTTTTACATGGCACTTGTGTCCCCTGATGGTCTCCCGGGTACGGTGGGCATCCAGGGTGGCAGAGAGAGTCACTCACCTCATAATCAATGTCCAAGGCATCTGCCTCACCCTGGCTGCGGAAGTGCTGGGTGAGCTTGTCCACAGTGAAGTTCACCTGCTTGCCAGCTCTCTCCACCAGGACAGAGTGCCAGTGCTGGTCATCCAGGAGGCTGCCCAGGGTGGCCGACGGTGGACTGCTATTGATCCTAGCTTTGCTGTCATCTGTGAAATGGTAAGGAAGACAAAGTGACATTTATGCTTAAGGGTAGGACCGAGGAGTGCTGCAGCAAAGCCACTCTCCGTGTCCTCCAGGGAATGAACAATTAAGTACCTCGATGGAGGCTAGAAGTAGTCTGGACCTTGGAAGGGATTAACTGGTTTTTGCAAACAGTCTGAAATGAAATTCTAGGAAAAGTAATATAGATGACCTCTCCAGGTGTAAAATTACACATGAGCAGGGCATGAACTATTAATAATCAGCAGTAGCTATACCTTCATATTTTTCCACATGACCCATATTACCTATTGAGGTTATCACCTTTCAGGAAAAATACATGTTTTTTTAGTTTGAGTAGATCTTGGAGTGGACAAAGCAGGTCTTGAGTTGTGAAATCGAAGATTAGTTCAGCTTTGGATGAATAAAAGGAAAAGAGCAGTCCATTGAGTTAGTTAAGACAAAGGTGCGGATGTAACCATTATTCCTGCTACTTGGAAAGGCTTTAATGTGGAAGGAACACTAGCAGGGCTTTTATACAATGCAATTTTAATCCTCTAAGAAAAGGGAAACAAAAACATTTTACAAATAAGGAAATTGAGGCTCAGTTAAATTAGACACACACACGCACAAGGTCATCCAGCTAGTAAGAGCTACATGAAAGATTCTAAGCTGACTTTGGATGATCCCTTCCCTCTGACAGTTTACGGGCCTTATTCAGTGTGGCATTTTTCATAGATGCTGAGAAATCAACCTAAAATGAATTTGGAAAACTCACTTTTGGACGATGTTGGACATTTACCTAGATAGATACATCCCCCCACCCCAAATAAAACCTATTGGTGCCCTATCCCCTTGCACCCATTTCTGATTTTAAGGGAGTCGTTGGCTGGATTTTCCATCAACAGAGTTTCTTTGTTTTTGTTTTTCTGAAGAACTTGTCTAAACAAAATGAACATTCAATGCAACTAATTATCACTTCCATATAAACTTCAAGTTCAAAACTGTTTTATGTATGCAGTCTCATTAATTAAAAAGTTGAATGTTAACCAGAGTTCCAATTCAAGATAGAAGATGGAACACATTGAGAGTAAATAACTCTACAGCCATTAGGAGAAAAACAACAAGAAAGGAAATCCAGGTTTCCAGCAATATTGGAAAACAATGCAATAGCTAAGCAAGCACCTACATCCCAAAGACAATAAGACTAGGCAGAAAAAGACAAGGAAGCACATGAAGCACCCAGTGCTCTCTCCTCGGCAGCCCCACCACCACAGCCTTCCTCACATAGCTACACCAGGCCCAGACCCCACAAGCACTCACTCCATACCCAGCCATCAGCAGGATAATTTACTTCCCAGATGAACTATTACAATGATTGTGAAAATGGGCTCAGACACACCAGCAATCTCGAGGGTGGTGTTGGGCACGACAGTGCTGCGTTTAGTCCCTTAGTCCAAGTGTGAAACACAGAACAGGAAGAACACAAATATCCACAAAGAACCTGTGTTAAAGGGGAATAACAACTATTCAGGAAGTTGGGAGAACTCTAAAGAGAGTTTGCAAAAACACCATGCATATAGTAATCACACTCTCTAATATCAAGGACTCAAAGAGAATCCTGAGAGCAGCTAGGAAAAACCAGAGAGTCAACGACAAAGGAAAACCACTCAGAAAAGCCTCGGATGTTTTTTCCAGCAGAAACCAAGCAGACAAGAAGAAAATGGGACGGCAAAACCCTGCAAGAAAAAAAAAAACCCCCAAACCCTGTCAAACAAAAATCTTATATCCAGTAAAATGAATCCTCAAATAGGAGGGAGAAATGAGGGCATTTCCAGAAAAGTAGAACTTAAAGGGATTTCTAAAAAACAAGAACAGAATTACTGAAAAATACTAACGGGAACACTGGGGACGGATAATCAATAACAACAGAAGAGAAACTTGAGTTCAATCTACAAGACAACACCACCCAGAAATCAATACACACTCAAAAGAGTGGTTGAAAAAGCACAGAAATATAGGAAGAACCAAGGAACCAATGACACTAGAAAAACACCACAGCAAAATGAGAGCACCAAATCCACAGGTATCAATTACTTTGCTAAATTTTAAATGGATGAAATGCATTACTTAAGGGACAGAGAGTAGAAGACAGGATAAGAAAGCAAGAGCTATTAATATGCTGCCTACATGAAACCTGAAACACAAAATAAAAAAGAGACTAAAAAGCAAAGATTAGAAATATATATATATATCAAGCTTATGGCTATGAAAAAAAAGCAGGAGTTGTAATATTAATCTCTGATAAAATAGAATTACAGGTAAAATCCATCATGAGAGCCAAAGAAGGGCATAATATAATGATTTAAAGAACAAGAGAAAGGAATCTATAATATAGTAAACATATGGCCAATAAAAGACTTTTGTAATAGATAATCAAACTCTTAGAACTGAAGAGATAAATAGACAATACAACAACAGTATTAGACTTCACTATACCACTCTCCAAGAAGAGTAGATCAATGAGAAACTCTATAAAGGCACAAAAGAACTAAACAACAAAATTAACCAATTCAATGTCTCAGACAAACAGAGCTCTCCACCCAACAGCAATATAATATACATTCTTTTTGAGGGAACATGGACCACTCTTCAGGAAAGGCCACTTGTTACATCACCAAGCCCACCTGTTGTTAGATGCCATCGTGTTGGTTCGGACCCATAGTGACTCGGTGTACGATAGAAGGAAATGCTGCACAGTCCTGCACCATCATTACAATTGTTGAAATGCCTGTGCCCATTGCTACAGCCATGGTGTTAAACAATCCCATTGAAAGATTTAAGGCATTTACACATCCTAAGATTTTGCAGTCTATTTTCTCAGATCACAATGCTATGAAATTAGAAATCAACACTAGAAAGAGCCATAACAAACAATCAAATGCATGCAAACTGAACAAGACCTTGCTTAAAAAAAACAAAACAACAACAGCAAAAATACTACTCAGTAATTGATGAAATAAGGAATTAAATGAAATAAACAGCCTTGGCATAAATGAGAATGCAAACAAACATACCAAAACCTTTGGGACACAGCAATAGAAATACTCAGAGGAAAACACAATAAGCATGCATGACAAAATAAGAGCCAACCAAAGTCAACACCTTAACCTAGTAAGAAGTAGAACAAAACCAACAAAATAAATCTTCTATTGTCAGAAGAAAAGTAAACATAAATATTGGAGCAGAAATAATGAATTAGAAAACAGAAACATAGTAGAAAAATTGAACAAGAAAATAGGTTGATATTTTGAAAGGATTAAAAAATTGACAAACCACTTGCCAACAACAAAGAAAAAGATGCGAACATCAAAAATGAGTTGAGAAATTGAAATCATTAGAGATCTAAATGAAATAAAAATACCACTATGAAAGACTATCCTCCAACAAACTGGAATATTTCTATCAAAGACTCTACTCCAACAAATGGGAAAAGCTCCATGCAATAGACAAATTTCTAGAAATTTAATACCTACCCAAATTACTGGTAACACAGACCAATGCAAGAAAACGTCAGCAGACTCATAACAAGAAAAAAATAGACCAGGTAATTAAAACATTTACAACAACAACAAAAATCCAGATCAGATGGCTTCACCAGGAAATTCTACCAAGCATTCAGAAAAGAACTGACACCAATTCTACAGAAGTTCTTCTCGAATATAGAGGACAGCACACGTCTGAACACATTGTATGAAGCAAGCACAACCCTGATGACCATCCCAGGCTACAGACTACAGAACCTTATGAACATAGATGCAGAAACTCTCCACAAAACCCTGGCCAGCAGAATTCATAAAAATGTCAAAAATAATACACCATGATCAAATGAGATTCAGCCCAGTTACACAATGATGGTGTAATATTAGAATTTTAAAAAAATCAATGAAATACAAAAAATGAAATAACTGGAATTAATTTAATCAGAGAAACAAAAGGTTTGTACAATGAAAACTACAGAAGAGTAGTATTAAGAAACCAGAAATGGTCTACATAAATCAAATCATCTATGTTCATAAACAAAAATACTCAATATTGTAAAAATAGCAATTCTGCACAAAACAAAATGTCTAAATACAATGCAATTATGATTCAGATCCCAGCATCATTCTTTAAAGAATAGAACTAATTACTAACTCTATGTGGAAAGACCAAAGAACTCCTTTTTTAACAGTTTTATTTACATATAATATTCACTTACCATACAATTCATAATTTAAAAATATTAAAAAGATTTGTGTAATCGATCTTAGAACACTTTCTTCATTTTTGTATGCATTATTATTAACCCTCCATGTTCTCCAACCTCCCCTGCCATAACCTTGAGAAACTTTAATCTTGTTACTGTCTCTTTACTGGATTTTATATAAAGAAATCATACCCCAAACTCACTCTCTAACAACAAAGTAAAACACAGAAAACTCTCAGTTGAAAAGAAATAAAATAATTAAAACTAGAGAAAAATAAGTCTAAAGAAAAACAAATTGTGGTAAATGTTAACATAAGTGTATCTGTAGTAAGAGGCCCTGGTGGTGTTGTGGACCACACATTGTGCTGCCAACCTCAAGGTCAGCAGCAGCCCTGCAGGAGACTGATGAAGCCATTCACTCTGCCAAAATTCACAGCTTCAGAAACCCAAAGGGATGGCTCAATTCCACCTTACAGGGCTGTAGAAATCAGAACTATTTCAATGGCAGTGAATTTAAATTTAATATTTGCAGCAATGCCCACTGCAATGCACTCTGTCTGAGGTCAATAGTCTAATGAAATTCAATGGCGGCATAATCGGTGTGGGGGCTCTGCAAGTTGATTTTGGTCTTTCACTATGACCCATAGATTTCTATAAACGGAGTACTCAGAATTTGAGCTCTAATACAATTCCTGGCTCTGGTCTGGGATTTTATTATTCATAATCCTTGGACCACACTTATCTGCCACCTCAACTTGA